TGAAATCCAACGACCAGGGCCCCAAAGTACAGTTCCCCAAGGTGTCCCTGAAACTCGAGCGCAGCTTCGACCGGCGAGACTCCCACCCTGGCTGGATGTGCTCCTGGCCCGCCGCAGTGTCCTCCACCGCTACCGTGAGTCGCACATCGTAGGGTGCCGCTGGCATTGCCATGTCCACGTGCATAACCTTGCGTTTGCTTTCCAAGACGCCCGCGTCCGGGTTCTCCGCCGAGCATCGCAGGCGCCGGTGGCCTGGATAGGTATAGACAACCTCCTGCATGTGCTCTTCCACCACGCCCCCGCCCAGATGCGCCATGGCCGCTTGCATGTCTTCAAAAGCTCCAGATGTCACCCCGGAAAAAAAACGCGTCGGCGGGTTGTGCCAGCCGTCGGGCCCAAGCTCGATTATGCCAGCACCAGGACACGCAGGGAAGACGCGTTCGTCCTCGTTTCGTCCTTGATGACAAAAAATGCCCAAACGAGCTTCAATTTCGACCTTAGGCCAGGCCGTCGCGGGGAGGTCGGCCAAAATCATGCTGCGGATCTTGTCCAAGGCGCGGGCAAGGAATGTGAAGGGTTCTTCTCCCGTATTTTGGAGCCCGCCAGGGCCTTGAAAATGCTGCTGTAGAGCTGGCGTTTGCATCTCTGCCCCTGGGCGCTCCTTCTCCAATGCCGCCGTATGACTCTGCATGGAGGCCATCGTCTGCGCGAGGGAAAACCCGCTCATGATGGGCCTGTGTCAGGAGACACCGAAGATAAAGGGGAGAATAGACGTGGAGATGGGTGATGAAGGTCTTGTGCTGTACCAAAAATACGCTCGCGTACTCCCCTACCGACGAGACGCAGCTCGATAATCAGATGAGGGGCCAGTAAGCATCAAATTCCTCCTGCAAGCCTAGAAAAGATGCAGGCTCGCTGCAACAATTCATGCCTAGACCTCGCGTATCGGCAAGTCCAATGCATGCGGTGGATGGCGCATGGATTGCATGGTTTGTATGGATGTGTCCTCAGTTCCTTCAACAAGGGGGGGAGGGGATCCAACCTCCTCCCTCCCAAGTAAAGCGCTATGGATGGTTCTAATTTCTATTCAACATAGCTCTCCCCCCAAATCTCCAAGGCGACTGAGACAGAGAATGGTAAACCCTCCTCAAGATCCGGCATTTGTGGCGGAGACTTCGAAGGAAGGGAAGGAGGAAGGAAAACCATACGTTCAGGGGGCAGTGCAGGGTGGAACGCCACAGCAAGGACAGAGCACTCCATTGGTCCTGCAAGATCTTAGCAAAACGATGGGGGACGACGATAACGGTAAGCTGCACGTATTGAAAAGGATAAGATTTTGGAGCATATAGAGCCTGGAGCTTTGGGGACAGAGGGTGCACGCCACATGGGGTTGACTTTCCTTCCCCCACGTCAGGCATAATGGAAATACCACAGAGTTTGTGTATGGCCTGCGGGGAATCTGGAACGACCAGGATGATCCTCACAAAGATTCCCTTCTTCCGAGAAGTCATTGTGTCCTCGTTCGAGTGCGATTCTTGCGGATGGACCAACAACGAAGTGCAATTCGGAGGGGAAATCAAAGAGCGTGGGTGTCGCTTTGAGCTCAAGGTTCGACTTAGGAACTGGGGGGGAGGGAAAGGCTCGGCATGAAGAGGTGTGACTCATGTGTGTTCGCAGGATCCTAGGGGTGAACGG